TTGGACAAAACGCACGATGGAATTTGGTTATGGCTTGCAAAATGCAGAGCTTGCCCTATTTTGCAAAAAAAACAGTAATTCTGAGTATGAGGAGGTTTGAGTGATGAAAGGGTCATGTTTCAGGCTTGTTGGGAGATATGGAACTTGTCTACAATGTTTGTCTCAGCTTGTCTTAACAGATATGTGAGATTGTATATGTTTTGCCACTTTTCTTCTTTTTCAAGCAAGCATGTGAAAGTGATGTTATAGCTTGGTACAGGCCCTCCTATCATGCTGCATCTTTTGCTCTTGGTTCTTGGAATTGATAGCTTTAATCTTGCTTCAGAGATATGGCCCCATACCTCAAGGATTTTGGTTTGACATAAAGTGCACTTTTACAAAAATGGCATTTTACCTTTTTCCAAATAAGGGTTAATCTTGTATGTAATGTCCAAATGGCCAAGATAACACCTTAATTCAATTGTTATGCATTAAATTATAAAGTGCAAGTTGGTTTTGAGGCCTGAAAGCTAGCACCAAACATGCTGATTTGAAAATGCAAGTTTGTATGAACATGTATTGGTCATGGACAAAAGTGAGTTTTTGCCAACTTCAAGCATTTGATTCTCTCTAACCATAAGGGTGTTTGAGGAGTTCTTGGACAATTTGGAAAGCTTGGAACATGTACTATAATCCATCTTTGAAATGCAATTTGAAACTCCAAGTGGAACTATGTGAAAAATGGCCAAGAAGATGGGTCAAAATCCTGCCTAGATTAGGGCAAATTTTCTCTAAGTTAAAAGTTTCAGGTACCCTTGTTCCAAAAATAATAACTTGAGATACAAGATTCTTTTGAGAAAACTTTGTGAATCAAAGTTGTATACTTTGTGATGGACTACAACTTTCATTTTACAAGTTTTGTTTGAATCCATATGCATCTTGGTGAAAAAATGGGACAAAGTTAGGCAAAAATAAGGAAATTTTATAACTTAGAAAATTTCTAAGTTATGAAAATTTTCCATTTTAAACCCTAATTTGCATTTTTGGGTTTCTTGGTGAACAAGTTTCATAATTTGACATGTCTTGATGAAAAATAACTCTTGGCACTTGATTTTGACCAAAAAGTCAAAGTTTGACTTTTCAGTGTACAGTCAAATTTTGATCAGTTGACTGAAAAATTCATCTGTCAATCCTATGCAATTGAGATCTTCTGAACTTGCTGAATGGGTCAAGACAATGTCATTGATTTGTGTCCATGGTTGAGCTTGATTTGCCATTGGTTAGGTCAAACAGTCAAAAATTTCCTTTGTACAGTCAAAACCCTAAAAATGACCATTTTGCCCTTTTGGTGATCCGATCAAATTTCTTGTGGAATTGTGATCCAAACTTGATCAAGTGACCTATATAAGTTCATTATGTTGATGTGGGTCAAAAATCATGAAGTTTGACTGTCAATTGGCCACATTTGACTTTTTCCCCAGTACAGTTGATTTCTAGGTCAACTGCCCAATTGACTGGGCAAAAATTTGAATCAAGGCTTGAAACTTGGTATGGACAAACTTGTGGGTCCAAAATAGGGTATGAAAGTCACTTTGGGCATTGTAGGTCAAAACATCACTGTGCAAACTCAAACTCTAATTTAGGTCAACAGTGCAAGGAGGTGTCTTGAGCAGAGCAAACCCTAGCTTGATCTTGAGTTCCAAGAGTCTTGTGATGAGAAATGTTGATGAAATGAGAGGGAAAATTTTGGGGTACAACAAATAGGAATGTGGAGACTTAAGCATATATAAGTGGAAGAATCCACTCACCTATCACCTTAAGGTTTTAGGTGGACAATTGATGTGTCTCTCACAAATGTGTCTAGTCCTACACTATGTATCAATACTCCTAGTATCTCCCCCAACAGACATAAAATCTAATCAATAAAAAAATTAGCAAAAATAATAGTTATACATATTCCACCTATCTCTCAAAAAATAATTAATTCAATATTTTTTAATCAAATAAAATAATAGTTAGACATAGAGTGGTGTACACAAAGATTCAACACTAACCCTTATGATGGCATTAACATAGAATAAAAGAAACACTTTATTCTCAAGCTTATAGACTTAGTATATCGGAACAAAGTCTTACAACTCAACTATCAAATCAAACTATACGCCTTAAGATATGAATAGAGGCGGTAGAGTGGTGCACAATGATACCACAAATGAAGACTCTAAAGATAAATTCTAACACAAGGAATCTTCAAAACATGCACACCTCAAATGTGAGGTTTGAGTCTCCTTAAATAGAAATGTCTTATGGGATTTTTCTCCTTGGATAGCTGGGTTACACTCATCCAGAATAATAGAAGATATTGTTGGATTTGATTTTCTCCATAAAAGTCTCCAATAAAACATATGATTTTTTATATATCAAATTCAAATTTAAATCTCCATTTAAATATGATTTTATCTACAACAATTGTCAAATAAGTCTCACAAACATTTCTAAACAAATTTGATTAAACCCCAGTAAAAAATTTTGTACCAAGCAACATCCATGATGGACTGCTGTCTAGGGCCATATCTTGCATGGAACTCATGTTGAAGCAACATGTTAAATCATATTGCACCAGAACATCCAAATTAACTCTTATCCATGAATTGTAGATATTCTTAAAGAGTGACTCTTGGATAGAATAAATAAGAACCAATAATGTAACACCATATGTCTATTGTAAAAGACCATATGTTGTAGCACACATTTCTTTTCCAAAAGTGCACTAACATTTGTCTGTTTATAGAGAACAAATATAGCAGCACGCATGATGGAACATCTTGTTCTACATGTTACACCAGAGCATCCAAAATAACTCTCTTCATACAAGTATTATTTATAGAGTAAATCTTGGACCAAAACTTCCTTCAAGGTACAACCAATCAAATCTTCATTGACTAAACCAAATCCAAACCTTTACAACACAAACTTATTCACAAAGGAAAACCCCAGTATCTTCCGAAGAATTCAACACCACAACTTTTTTGAAGGAAATCTGAATATATCAAATGATAGGCAGAAGCCAACCCTTATGAAAGGAAGATACACAATCACATGTTGAACCCATGACTTAACAAGTTTTGTTAAGCACTTTAGTCGAATCTTGAAACCTCTTGCTTAAATGGTTGGATCTAGCACTTTAACTAAACAACTCTTGATTAATTGTTTCTGTCAAACACTTTAACTAAGCAACTCTTCTTAACACCAATCACAATCACACTCAGACATAGGTACATTTGTTGGAACACCTTGTTCCATATGTTGCCTAAAATACATCTTGTACATATGTTGTTTGACCTAATACAACCAACCAAATGGATTTATAATATATAAAAGAATATAACTAAGAGGCTGAGCTAATAATATTGGTGGGTTCTGATCTAAAACCTCAATTCTCCTAAGTTTCCTACATCTTCCTGATACATATCCTATAATGAACGACCCAATACATGTGAACTTTACCTAACTACAAGATGAATACCATTTACACCAATTGGGTAGAGGGGTAAATAATATACTCCACTACTATATAACCAAAATGAATCACATATCCCCTAGGATAAAACCACACATCCCCCAATTGGTTCCTCAGAACAATCCCTTGTCTGAGATTGTAATCCAACACTTTATCTGGTTGTAGTATCCCTTATTATTGTAGCATGCCCATCAACACATGGTTTTTTCCAATCCAAACTCAAAATCCCAAATATCATCACCTCTCTCACAATCTTTTCCGTCATCTAGCATTCTAAACACGACCATTAGCTTAGTTATTACTTAAATTCAAAATGAGCACATCATTTAACAATTAACAAAGTATGAATTCGACAAGCAATCGTCATTTCATAATTTAGGGTTTATGTTAATTAAGGATCATAACTTAAAGAAAGAAAAACCTTCTTATCTATTTTCTTCTTAATTAAATAAGACAATTATTAAGGATAAACGATTGGATTTTAAGCTCTATATTTGACTTGAAATTTTGTAGCAATATCTTCTCTAGAAAACATGCAAGCATCAGCTTGAATCTTCCACTTCTTCTTAAGCTATTGAGCTCTTTATATTCTCCACAAGTTGCACACATTCTTATTTCTAAGTTATGTTAGGACTTTGGTATTGTTCTAATGAAAGGACTATTTTACTGCTCTTATGTGATTGCTCTTTTTAAAGGGTCATTATCACTCTCAATTTTATCACTACCATTCTTAATTCACTTAAATGATGATAATTAAGTTAGTGATATCTAGTAAAGGATAATTTAAAGGAATCACACACATACACACGCACACACATACACAGACACACACATACACATACACACACATCCATACACAGACACACACATACACATACACATACCCCGATTTACTACTTTAAAGTCGAGTTTGATATGATTGTTTACGTGAAGTTCTTCAGCAACTACTTTTATATATTTATACTAGAAATAGAAATTAAATTATTTTGTAAATTTTGTATAAAAAAAATAAAGAAAACCCAGTTAAATTATATAATATTACTTTTTTTTAATTAATATGCCTTCAGACAAAACCTGCTATTAAAAGAGAAAAAAATATATTTCTTATTTCCATTTTAAAATTCATGTAACAGAGATTATAATGTTATATTTTATTATAGGAGGTTGAATTATTCAAGTATTTAAATAGTTTTTTCTTCATTTTTCATTTAAACTTTTACTTTTCAAACAAAACAATCATACATATTAAAAATATATAAAACATTAAATTAAATATGAATAAGTTTGAGAGAAAGAGAAAAGCATAAACATTTATTAGTAATAGATTAGAAGGACAAATATCATTACAACATAAGTTTATTTATAAAACATTGTAATAACAAGTCTCCCAACACTATTTATTTCTTTAAGAAAAGCAAATTCCACGGTAATTAACTTGTGACTCAAGGTTCACCATCGAGTCCGAATTAACGGCCTCCACCAGTATCATTTCCGCCTCCATTTAGTCCAACAAATATTCCCCACTTGTAAAATTACCACCAACATTAGCATTACCTCCTCCATTTAATTCAGTTGAAAGACCACCACCAGTTGGATTATTGCTTCCTCTCAATCTATTAGTGGCAATAACGCCTCCACTTTGCCTACCAAATATTCCATCACCAATAACATTATCGACTCCATTTTGTCCACTGTTTAATCCACCAGATATACCACCACCAGAAAAATCACCGCCTCCTCTTACACCAATAGTTATTCCAACATCAGTAGCATTACCGGTTCCATTTTGTCTACTAAATATTCCACCTCCTGTAATATTACCGCCTCCATTTAATCCACCAAATTGTCCACTGCCATTAGTAATACTGCCATTCAGTCCACTAGATACTCCCCCAGAAAATCCACCAGAAAGTCCACCACTAGTAGTGTTACCACCTCCAAATACTCCACCAGAAAGTCCACCACTAGTACTGTTACCACCTCCAGATACTCCACCAGAAAGTCCACCACTAGTAGTGTTACCACCTCCAGATACTCCACCAGAAAGTCCACCACTAGTAGTGTTACCACCTCCAGATACTCCACCAGATAGTCCACCACTAGTAGTGTTACCACCTCCAGATACTCCACCAGAAAGTCCACCACTAGTAGTGTTACCACCTCCAGATACTCCACCAGAAAGTCCACCACTAGTAGTGTTACCACCTCCAGATACTCCACCAGAAAGTCCACCACTAGTAGTGTTACCACCTCCAGATACTCCACCAGATAGTCCCCCTCCAGATACTCCACCAGAAAGTCCACCACTAGTAGTGTTACCACCTCCAGATACTCCACCAGAAAGTCCACCACTAGTAATGTTACCACCTCCAGATACTCCACCAGATAGTCCCCCACTAGTAGTGTTAACACCTCCAGATACTCCACCAGATAGTCCCCCACTAATAGAAAGACGAACATCAACAATGTTTTTCTTTAAAACCCTTTCTGCCATTGGCACAATTCTTGCACTTGTAATTACCACAACATGGGCCAAAACCACCAAAATCAACCAGTTACCCATTTCTTTATCTTAATATATTCCAAAACTACAAAGATAGGCTTCTCCTTTTATAAGTTTGAACATGCACTTGGTAGTTGATTTAAAAGGGAATGAGCTTCTAATATAACTGTTGTTAGTGTACCGTATAGGAAACGTAAAATGGTTTTAATTTTTTTAACTAAACGTTGATTTATGTGTCTTAGATTATGCACGGTGCTTAAAAAATAATTTGAATATTTTGATTTCAATATTATTATTAATTAATGAAATCTTATTAATTGAATTTAATAGAAGGAAGGTCCATAGATAACATTTACTGTTACTAGTGTGTTGTCCACGTACAATAGATTTTTTTAAATTAATATCTTAAATGAAAACCTTAATTTTAGTTGTTACTAGTGTGAAGAAAAAAAAAATTTATTTTCTCGGTTGTAATCATATTTTTCTTGTACTTCGTGCTTTCCCTTAATGTTTTTATAATATTTTAGAATGATTGATATATTTGTTTTTGACAGGCATTGATATATTTTTTAGTTTTTAGAAAAACTGGTTTTTATTTTTTGTGGAATCAATAACAGGAAGAGTGTTGCACTTTTAAAATGAAATTGTTCAAAATTTTAAGATAATTATTACATTTATATTGAAATTTATTTCTTTTATTTATAAATTTTATTCATTTGAATTTAAAGTGAAGCAAAAGGGATATAGAAAAATAATTGATCAAAAGCTATGCTGAAGTTATTAGATTGCAAACTCGTCCTAATAAAATTGATTCATATAAGTTTACTCTTTTATTTGAATTTTTTTTTACAATAACTAGGTATTAAAATAAAATTTCACAAATAACCGCGTTTCGGAAAAAATTACGCAAATAACCATGTTTCGGATGACTCCCCAAAGGAGGAACCATCTCACTTGGCGTCTCCACCCCTAGTTTTGCCCTAGGCGCCATCTCACTTGGTGCCTCCTCTCACTTTTAGCCAAGTGAGATGGCGCATGCACTTTAAAAGTGATAGGAGGCGCCATCTCACTTGGCTCCTATGGCAAAACTAGGGCAAAATGCTATTTTATAAATAATTTGTCTGTTTCTCCGTCGTTTCTCACACTTTCTCGCACTGTTTTGTTATTTTTTACTCTGTTATTTGCGTTATGACATCGCCCATGATTTTTAGCAGAGATGGTTACGTTATCTTCTCCGCCACGAAACTTGCGATGAAAATGAAATTCTGGCACATTCACTCCATGGAGCGTCTGAAGCGGGAGTTGATGCGATGACTAGATAGAGACATTGCGGAGGGGGAAAAAATTCGAAGGATCCAGCGAAGACAAACAACAACCTCACATGCGACAGGAAGACCTAATGTATGGTTGGAGGAAGTCAAAACAGACAGCGATGTAATGTTGATGATGCATGGGTCAGATGAAATTGTGTTAACAGTTGTAATTTCGTAGACGGAATATCGTGTATTTTTCTTGTACGCGCAATATTTATTGTAGCAAAATCTATTAACGGAAAACCCTAATGTTTACAACATAATTAAGGAAAGATTTTATGTATTATAATTTTTATGTGGTCGAGGCAGACGCCTGATTCGGACAATTTTTGCGATTGTGTCCGACCTGACGGCATAAACCATACTTTCTTTCCAGCTTGTCAAGATCGTCCATTTCTGTTGTGATGCGCTTACTTTTGGGACGACCCTTCTTGTTCCTTCGCATTTGGTCATTGTGTCACACTATTTCGCCGTTGTATGCAGGTCAATAAGCTGGTTTCGCTACCAAAGGAAAGCTGTTGTTGTAAATGTTGAGCAACGTTTCAGATTTGTAAATGTGTGACAGAAGTTGCAGCGCGTCTTGATGGGTATAAGCACAAGCGGAAATGACATGAGAGCAAGGCATACGAAATGCTTGAAACCTGCCACAATCACACCAACGAGAAGGTAGCATGACCCTATATTCTTGTCTTGGCAGGCCTTCGTTGTGGTCGATTGTCTGTTTCACAATGAAGTTGTGGCTGTGTCGGTCAAACCGTATAACCATATGAGTGTTGGCTTTGGCACTTTCTGCCTTAATGTATTTCATGCAGCTTTCACTCCATAGTGGTCCAGATTGCAACACCGCATTCCATATTTCACCTCTTTTGGCAAACAACGCAGCCATCCTAAAATACGTAGATTTTACAAAAGCAGTGATCGGGAGGTTTCTTATGCCTTTGAATACCCCATTCATCGATTCAATAAGATTTGTTGTCATGTGCCCCCATCTTTGGCCATTGTCGTATGACCTAGTCCATTTTTCCACCGGAATATTGTCGATCCACCTACCGGCTTCCAGATTTGACAAACGGATCTCGTTGCGGTAATATTTAAATGTGGGTTATGTCAATGCATATCCCGCATTCATAACCGCTTTCCTTAGTGTTTTGTCCTTGATCTCCCTCGTGAAATTCTGGACGATATTCCTAACGCAATAGACATGCGTAGAAGGAGGGTCATGCCAACCGTTTGCGGGATTATTGTAGGCACTTTCAATGGAGGCATGTCTGTCTGAGATCAAACAGAGATCTGGTTGAGGAGCCACGTGTGTCCTAGAATTGCACTTAGGCGCCATCTCACTTGGCTTAGGGCATGCCCTAAGCACATAGGCGCCAAGTGAGATGGCGCCTCCCCTTAAATAATGGGTGTAGGCGCCAAGTGAGATGGCTCCTCCTTTGGGGAGTCATCTGAAACATGGTTATTTGCGTAAATTTTTCCGAAACGCAGTTATTTGCGAATTTTTTTTTAATACTTGGTTATTCAAAAAAAAATTCCTTTTATTTCTCCTATCAAATCTATAAAAAATGTTTTATTTTTTTGGGTGAAAACTATTCCGTCTAATTCTTTCCTTCTATATCATGAGTGACAATCCTTTATTCCTTCTAGATGCGTGGTAGGTAGGTACGTGTAAATCAAAAAGATTTTAATTTAGATTTTCATATTCTCGTTATTTTGTTGGGCTTTGAATTTGTTGAAGAGGATAAAGAATATGAGGTATAAAGGTAATTTGTTGAAGAGACTGAATTTGTTTATTTTAATTTAATTTTTTATAAAGATAATTTTTAAAATATAAAACAAATAGAAAAATAAAAGGATGAATGAATATTGTTGGAATAATATAACAGGTGTGAGTAAGTGGAAAAATAGTCCCACATTGAATAAGAATGTGGAGACTTAAGCATATATAAGTGGAGAACTCACTCACCTATCACCTTAAGGTTTAGGTGGACAAGTGGTGTATCTCTCACAAATGTGTCTAGTCCTACACTATGTATCAATGTGTCTATTCCAGGATTTTTTGAGAAAACATTGATTTGAGAAAACTCTGCGTAAATTGCATAAGGTAGAAGATGAATGGAAACGACAAGCGATATTAATTCCAAGCTTCTAGTATTTGATGGCAAAAATTGGAATCGCTGGAAGATCCAGATGTGGGTGTTATTTATTTGATTCTCAAGATGTGTTAGAACTTGTCACTGATGGGTATAATCTATTAGAGAAAGATCAGAAGGCATTGTTCTACATCCATCAATGGTGTGGATGTGAATGTGTTTGAGAAGATTGGCTGATTCTGAAATAGCAAAGGCTGCGTGGGACACACTGGTCAGATGTTATGGTGGTGACACATCAGTGAAGAAGGTGAAGCTTCAGTCTCTCAGAAAGCAATATCAGAATCTTAACATGAAGGACAACGAGAAGTTTTTTGAGTACATTTCTAGAGTGATTCTGATCACTAATGAGATGAAAGCTTGTGGAGAAACCCTTTCTGAACAAATAGTCCATTGAGAAGATCTTGAGATCTTTAACTTCTCAGTTTGATTACATTGTGGTAGCAATTGAACATTCCAAAGATCTGAGCACCATTAGAGTTGAAGAGCTGCAAAGTAGTCTAGAGGCGCATGAGTTGCGTATCACTGCAAGAACTTCTGAGAGGAAGTAGAGCAGCAGGCTCTGAAGGTAACTTCTGGTAAGAAGAATCAGAAGCAGACTTGGTCAGAAGCCAGGAAGAGAACTAATGGTGGTCAAAAGTCAGAAGCTCAATCTCTGATAAGCAGAAGAATGTCCAGAGGGGAAAGGAGAAGTCTGACAAGAAGAACATTCAGTGTTACTGTTGCAAGAACTTTGTCACTATACTAAAGATTGCTGGTCAAATAAAGAAAGGAAGTCAGAAGAAGCAAATGTAGCCAGATGAAATTCAGATGATGAACCTGTTCTATTTATGGCTTATGAATCTGATGAGGAACCAGTGAAATTGTTCATTTTCTGATTCTGAAGGGGGAGAAGAATATGACTCTGAATATTCTGATTCTGAAGGAGTTTATTTTGGTATGAGTCAGAATTAGAATATGGCTCTGAGTTAGAATCAGATGGCGACTTTGAAGATTTGGAAGATGAGTCAGAATCTGAGGTTTCTGAAGACGAGTTCGAGTCAGAAGATGACTCTGAAGCTGAAGACAAGTCAGAATCTGAAGGTAATTCTGAGTCTGAAGAAGATCTGCTTCTGAAGAAGAGTTAGAAGATGATGACTCTAGAAAACTCTGAAGGTGAATCTGATTCTGATCCAAATTTTGATGATGATCCAGAATTTGGTGGTGATCATGCTTCTAGAAGGGAAAACTCTAAAGGTGTAGGTTCTTGAGGACAAGCTTCTAAAGATGACCATGTTTCTGGTAGAAATCATGATTCTGAAAGTGAAACTTTTGAAGGAGGAGCTTCTGAAGGAAATTCAGCCTTTGACAATGATCATGATTCTTGAAAGTGGAACTTCGAAAGGCCAGAGGTGATCCAACTTTTGAAGATGGTATTTTCTGAAGGCAGTGGGCTTTGACTCTAATAATGATCATAGCCTGGGAATTTTCAAGACTCTAAAGATAGTCCATGGTTCTGGAGAAAGTCAAAACTCTGAAGCGAGATCTTATGAAGGGGAAGTTCTGGTATCCAAAGTTCTGAAGGTCCAGTTCAGAGGCAACCAAGAAGATTTGCAGA